ACGTGGCCATCCGTAGTGGGTTTTCGTTGTTTCTGTAGGAGCCTCGAGGGTAGAGATTCAATCTTCTGGCTCCGCCAAATGGGGTTTGGCCAGGAGACGTCATAGACGCCTGTCCCCCCGGGGCCTCCGGCACAAGCTTATTAGTTACATATTTAATTTGTGGTTTAGTGGTAATTTATTGAAGTTGGAGGGGTTACCAGCCCCTCGCACCCGTCCAGAGCCCCCGTTTAGCCACTGTGGTGGTCTCTGACGCCATGAGGGGAGGAGCCAATCGGAATTGGCCTCCCCCCACAGCACTGTCCACGACAGAGTTGGCCGTCCGGCACCGCGAGGAGGTAGGTAGCATACACACACACACACACATCGTTGGTAGCATACACACACACGCATCGTTGGTTGCACACACACACATATCTTTGGTAGCATACACACACACATCGTTGGTAGCACACACACACACTCGCAATGATGAAGATCCCCATTTGGAGACAAGTGTTGTTTGCAAGTAACTGCTACCTACACCACAGACATGCATTTCTATACAAACACAAGACCACCCTCCCATAGCCATACAAACCGTTGGAGCAAGTGCTGTTAGTGAGCACCTATGAAGGCTGGCACGGCACAGCACCACGTCCGGCCGCCTTTGTCTCCCCAGCGGCGATGTTTACACGCCGCACCATAGTACTCATTTGAGGCCGAGACGATTTTCGGTAGACCTAAGACCGGTTCAGATAATCGTCACTTGTGTTGGCCGTGAGCAAGAATCTCACTCAGGTCGCTGGGTTCATAGCGCAGGGTGCTTACCACTGTGTCACTGCCCCCCACAGACACACACACACGTACATACACGTACACAAACGAACACACACATTCGTCTACACTGTGTAGACTGATGGGGCAAGTGTAGTTCGTGGGCGGCTATTTAGGTCAGCAGCACATGTTCTGTGATAGTTGGGTCTTAACCATTTGTCTGCCTTTGTCTCCCCATTGCGAATGTTTTAACACCGCACCAGGTACTGATTTTAGCTAGGTATATTTTGCCACTGGTGTGCATGGGCAGGAATCACAACCAACTGTAAACATACAAGGATTCTTCATTTGACCATAGATAATGCTCACTATGATATGTCTCAGATTAGGATTAAGTTTAAAGTCACATTACTTGAATGGGCAATCTATGTATGGATGTTGATATTCTTTCGCACCGTACGTAGCCAACCATGCTATAATGGTTATGGGATAAACATCCCCGTGCGGGTTGCATTGGGAGCCTCGTTTAAAACGTCAGGAGAAATGCAAAAATGTGCACGACCGCTGTCCAAATGTTTCACGCTGGAAATATGCAAAGGGTAGCGTGAAGCTTGCAGGCCACTTCAGGGTGCAGCATCACAGAGTAGGTATTAAATATTGTCTCGGACTCATATGAAACCAGGCGCCATTTGCTTAACTTTGGTCGCATTATAATGTTACTTTGCTCGGGTGGTACACAGAAGGTCGTGGGTTCGATCCCAACCCCGACACCTTTGTATTTGGAGTTTGCGTGTTCACCACGTGGTTGCGTGGATTCTTTATCTACGGGTCCTCCAGTTTTTTCCCCTCCCCATTTAGAAACATGCATTTATATAATTTGACCGCTATAAATTTCCACGTGATATGCCATTTCGTTGAGCTATCATTTGTGGCAAGATCGCTTCTGAAAATGAAGCTAATAGCTCAGTGGGCTTTACCTGGTAAAATAAAAGTATATTTTTAATTGTTTTTGCTTACCTTTCCTATACTTTGCATTCCTATCGTGTTTTTTTTGTATGGTTTGTTGTTGTAACTATCTGACCAGCCACGACTGGCTATCTGTGAAAAAGAGCTTCATAGCTCATCAGATTCCTCCAGCATAAATATTATGATTCAAATTTTGATTTCCCTGACTGCGACACACCACACCAATGAACTTCGTTAATTTCAGTTCAATTGTGCTGCTCCGCAGAACTGTGCTCAATACATAACCATGCCGGGGTGGCAGACTTTCACTCACGGGTTGTGTTTACAGGGACACGTGGGACTGTAACGCCCTTGGGAGTTAGGGGCTCGCGGGTGCCTGATCGCCAGTCCCAGGTTTGATGATTGAATGAGCACCCGTTGTGGAAAGTGGAGCATGCCACGCCAGAGTATGCTTCGGCAGAATGGTCCAATTTGTGAATTGTTATGGGGAGGGGTGAGGGTTTGGCAATGCTTCATATAAGCATGCACCCTCTGGACCCACAGCTGATGACCTGGAGCAGCTGTTGTTGTCACGTTAAATTCAGCACTGGGTCTTCAATAGAAAGTATAGTGCAATTTAATTCCAATCGATCATGACTTAGGAATGAAATGCATTCTAATTGTATGCACATATATATTAACGTGAGACACATCTGTGTGTACTGTATCTTTGGGCGGTGGTGACAGGGATAGTAAATGACTCAACATGGATTATAGCATCGCCGCCTCCTACTGGCAGACTAATGCCCCAGGTCAGCCTTCCAAAACGAGACTATGACGGTATCTTGAGCTCTCATCTGGTCAAACAAAATAAACGTGACACTTGAAACATTGCATCACGTAAGCAGCCACACGGGTTTAATTATATAATTATTAGTCGTGCAGAACACGAGTGGCCAATGAGTATCTCACCATGGCACTATTGGCAATGGTAATTAGACAGAGTTGGGCTGGAGATGTGTGGTGTCACCTCCTGAGTCACTTGTTTGTGGTGCAGACCGTAAGGTGAATTCTCTCACAGATCACTTGCCCCATATTTGTGTGTCTGTGTGCATGTGTTGCGCGTGTAGTGGTGAGTGCACTGCGCTACGAACCCGGCGGCCTGAGTTCGATTCCCGCTCACGGCCAACATCGGTGACGAATATGTCAGCTGGTCATGAGCCTCCCCTAGATCGACTCAGCCTCAAATGAGTACCTGGTGCAGTGTGTAAACATCTCCACTCGGGAGTAAAAGGTGACATGGCGTGGTGCTGGCCACCCCACCCCCTGGTGTGCAGTGTCGGCCTTCATAGGTGCTTGCTAACAGCACTTGCCAAAACAGTCTGCAAAGGCTATATGGGGGTCTTTGTCTTTGTTGCGCATGTGCACCCAAAAAAAATGATGCTCATTAAATCCCAACCCGATTGCTCATTGTTTAATATGCATGCCTCTGGCTGATTGGCCCCAATCCAGGCAATTTTTTTTTGCATTCCACAGCATGACCAATTATAAACAAACAAATTGAAAACGTCCACATAATAATGACAAGGGCTTTCTGTGTAAAATGAAAATGGCAAGGTAATCTATGGCACAAACACCACTCGTGCATCTCACGAAAACCTGGGGCAGCGCAGCGAACTGAAACACCCTGCAAGTGGTGTGAAGATAAGACTGCACGATGGTGTGCACACTTCCTTCTCTTCATATTCTTCCCAGGAGACATGAGACAGGAAACCGGCCCCACCAATTTGTACCGTCGCTAGGGATCTAGGAACCCCCCCCCCCCCCCATTGAATATGTGCTGCTTGCATCTCGCATATTCCCCATAGTTGGGCGCCTGGATGGCCAGACAAAGGCTCTTTGGCAAGGCAAGGCTGCCCTGAGTCTGTGTTCACGCGGCAGGGGAAACACATTTTCAGCACGCAGTGGACAAAAGGTTGCGTGGTGGAAATTCGGCTATCGTCATCCATTTCTACAGCCCATCTGGTCTGAAATCAAGGGTTTAATGTCTATAATCTGTTCCACTTAAAATAAAAGCGTGGGGTCTTATCTTGGGGATGTGCTGCAGCGTGTTTCACGAGATTATTCTTGATCGTATGGGATTTATAAACAATTCTAATTTTGCCGACACACAGAGATTGAAAAACATAACAAGATTGTGTTTAGTTTTTTTTAGACATATCTTTTGGCGTGTGCTCGTGAGTGCACTTATAAATAGTTCACTTATCATACCAAGATAAACGTTTATTTTCCTGTATTTACAGAGTTCTTAACTCAAATCCTAGTTACAGTCGATCAGCGCCATATTGTAGACATAAGTTTTAAGTTATCTAAAAAAGAGGACATTCCTAGATAAGTATGATCAGTAAAAGATCATCTCTCAAAGTCCTCCCTGTAAAAAATATATAATCATCAACATCGTCATCAGTTTTATTCTGGGTCGGTAAAATTAACACTTTTTATGAAACTATACCATCAACATCGGACAAATACTGCTGGATGAAGGCCTCCCCAAACTGTTACCATCTCTCACTGTCCTGCAATGTTGATTATCCACCTGCCACCTGAGACAAGAGCCGATTTGATAGCTCAACCGTTGCGGTTTGTGTTGATTCTTTGATCGATGTGTTCCTCATTCTGTTCCTCGGTGTAATACCCAAGAATGCATCTGTTCAACTTGAGCTTTTGTTTCATGTTCTTCGTCTGTGTCCATGTTTCTGATCCACATGTCACTGCAGGTCGTACGTATTGAGACTCCACTACTTGGGGAAGGTTTCCACGGTAGTTGTTCAGAGAAAATGATCTCAGCCTTAAGAATGGACTTTTACCACTGTCTTAGGCCTGCTAATGGCGTTAAGTACCGCAGTTGCTCAATAGAGCTTTGGAATAGTGAGACTACAAATGTCCAATCAATCAGCCTTTATTTAACGTGCCAATATCGCCCTCAATAAAATAGGCATCAGTGCACATTACAGCAGAACGGGAACGGTATCGGGGCATAGAGCAACAGGAATGAAAAAAAAAATCCGTCAACACCTCGGCGTGTAATTCTGTCTTCGGCGTATATAAACATGAGTTTCCCAACCACAGCTAACATCTGTGGAAAATGATATCTGAACTAATCCTGGAGCCCTTGACTGACATAGCGTGGGGAGGCCTTCATCCAGCAGAGAATTTTGAAAGGGTTGTGAATTAGTACTATTATTTATGCATACCACTTGGCTGTGACGATGCAATGTGCGTGTATGGGGATGGGCACTCACGGCTGGCTTCTTGGCTGGCTTGGCCTTGTCGAGCGCACGTGAAGCGTTCTCAACGTCAATGAGCCGGCATGTCCTCCTGAACAGCATCTCCTGTGAGATGAGCACAGGACACGAGCGCATTGACACACGCGCACACAATACACACGTGTGAATGTTCACGCGCACACGAATGCACAAGCTCACACGCGAACAGACACGCGCACGCGCACTCACGTACACATAGATGGGCGCAAACGGTCACGTCCTCGCACACTAACACAAATATTCCCCGTTTAGCTTTCAGAGACCGTTGGGGCAAGTGCTATTAGAGCTGGCACAACACACGAGGGGTCGAGAGGCCAACAGCAGACCCGGCCACCTTTGTTTCCCCGATGTTGATGTTTACGCACCGCACCAGGTACTAATTTTGATTCTGAATTGACCTAGGGGAGGCCCAAAACAAGTTCCGATATTCACCACTGTCACTGGTGAGTGGAAGTTGAACTCGGGTCGCCGGGTTCGAAGTGCTGTTAGCTGACCGCTCCACCTCCGCTTTGCCACCACCGCATGCACAGAGGGCATTCACATGCGCGTCCAACTGCGTGCCCAGCTAATAAGTGTGAAAACATTGTCGTCCTTGCCCTGACGGTTGTGTCATGTTCTTGTTCACGTCCCCATGTTTCTCTTGCGTCTCAACGTGGACTCTGACCTGGTTATTAATAAACCTCAATCATATTCATGTAGGGTGGGGAACAGTTGCACAGCGGTTCGTCGCACCGTCTCATGAACACAATGACCCTTCGATGGAATTTACAACCTTGAATTAGGTCTGTGGTGAGTGATGTCTGAACCGGTCCTGAGTCCCCCCCCCCCCCACACCACCAGCGTGGTGAAGTATGGTCAAACAACCGCCATGAGAGAAATGGTGTAGGGAGGACTTCATTTATGTGCGTATCAGCCATGTTCACGGATACATTCAAGTGCACATCCACACAAATATTTAAACGACGTTGCCAAGGTGTTTGGGCAGTGTACCATTAACTATGCCACTATCACCGCTAAATTTACACATGAAGACAAGATTCCGCATGTGACCGCGTACATTTTTGTGGTAATGCTGTTTGTGACCACCTCTTAAGGCCAGTACATCGCACAAGGGGGTTATAAGCTCAGGGCTGATATTTACATACAACACCAGGTACTCATTTATAAGGCTGTGAACCCAGGGAAGGCCTGGGGCTACTTCTGATACCCGGTGGTCACTGATGTTATCCATGGCTGAGAATCGAATCCTGGCTGTCGCTCCTCACACGAACACGTAAAGATCCTGTGTCCATGCACACGTTAATGCAATGTAAATACGTAGAAAAAAAAACAAAGATCCCCTGTATAGCTTGTAACAGACTGTTGGGGCAAGTGCTGTTTGCGAGCACCTATGAAGGCCGGCACGGCACACGAGGAGATGGGTGGTCAGCACCACGCCCGGCCGCCTTTGTCTCCCCAGTGCAGATGATGTTTACACACCGCACCAGGTACTCGTTTGAGGCCGTGTCGATCTAGCGTAGGCCCGGGACCAGTTTAGATAATCGTCACAGGTGTTGGACGTGAGCGGGAATCGAACTCTTGTCCGCCAGATTCGTAGCACAGCGTGCTAACCGCTACACCACCGCTCCCCAAATACGTACACACACATGCACAGAGTCACATTGCATATGCAGGTAGAACACCGACTAATGGTGGCAGCTGTGGGCAGCTGCTACTATCACTGCTCATGGGAGCATTAAAATGTTTCGTTCAATATGAAACCCCTTTCCTCTGTGGGTCATTCCACCAATGTAGTTACAGCACAATGTGCAGAACATAAAACTTGTATCGTTTTTACTTACAAATCGATGAACTCCCAACATTGTGTGATATTTTGAGTTTTAATTATTTACGTTCAACTATCAGGCCTGGGTGCTTGTCTCTGCAATGCTAGACAATCGTTTACATTCACATGCGAGTTTAACTATGAAAGGGCAACTGCTGTACACACGCAAATTCATCAGGTGAGACGAAAGCTGGGCCTGTTTCAATCCTAGTGACGTGATGAGGCTGCCCTGTCCTCAACGACTAAAATATTCTTGAGGAATGTAAATAATAACTTTCAGCCTTAAGTCAATCCGCTGCTGGATGAAGGCGTCCTCATGTCGTGTCAGTCACGGGGATTTGTTTGACGTCACCATGCGTGGGTTGGGGGGGGGGGGACCCAAAAAAAAATGGACCGGACATCACTCGCCACTGATGCTCGCCGTGGCCAGGAATTGAATTCAAGTCACTGGTGTGTGCAGTGTCACGCGCTTAACCGCTACGAGCACTGCTCCTTCCCATTGTATATTTGATTTTGTTTAATCAGGTGAGATCTCGAGAGATGCCCGATAGTGTTACTTGCAAGAGTGACCGGGTCATTAGTCTGTCAGTCGGTGAGGGTGATCGCTGTGTGTAATCCCACTTTGGTCATTTGTTATCAGATACATTGGAATAACAACGCTGTATTAAAATTGATCCATTCGCTTACAATGCATTCGGAGCGGTTGCTTCCATTGATCGCATCATTACTTTCCGAAACATTTACATTTGTCATTGCATACTAGTTTGAGTTCATATTTAATGGAAACGTGACCACAACGTAGGGTTGGTAAATGCACTGTGGAAGCAATGTCACTCCATGCAGTTGAGGAAAGTATGCATCCAGTTAGTACTTGGTCAATCGACTGTTTAATGAGGGCTTCCCCACATCGAATAGCTCGTGGGGATTAGACACTGGACTCTTCTTCACCAAACGGGTTCATCTGAATAGGTGAAGACAGCATAGGTGTGGGGAAATGAAAGTACAGAACGACAATGTGTTGTGCTGCACTACCCTATGCACAAACACGGAGTCCCACAGCTGCCTATATCACCTGGTTGTGCACAGTGCCTATATCACCTGGTTGTGCACAGTGCCTATATCACCTGTTGTGCACAGTGCCTATATCACCTGGTTGTGCACAGTGCCAATATCACCTGGTTGTGCACAGTGCCAATATCACCTGGTTGTGCACAGTGCCGCCTATATCACCTGGTTGTGCACAGTGCCTATATCACCTGGTTGTGCACAGTGCCTATATCACCTGGTTGTGCACAGTGCCTATATCACCTGGTTGTGCACAGTGCCAATATCACCTGGTTGTGCACAGTGGTCGCATTCCAGGTGATGTGACCAAAAGCGTCGTAATTCAAATACATCGAATCTCACTCGTGGGTTATAGGAAGGGCCTTAGCGGCCACAGTCTGCCTCACGTGGAGCCTATAGTAGTGGTAAGTGTTGTGTGAGAAGCGATGCACGGGCTGACTTGTCCAAAGGCTTAGATGTCAATCCCGCTGAAGTCGGGTATGCAGCTGCTTCAGCCTGTTCATAATTTTCGAGAACAGAAAGGTGATTTTGTGCCTTTAAATTCTTAAGGAAGCGCAGTGCTTGACACTGAGAATTATAGACCTCAATGAAAGCAGTGGGGTATAAATTTCACGAGCAGTCACAAGATTAAAAATGTTCAATATCTCATTTCAATATATCAGAGCCACAAGAATCCATAAAAAACAGCATGTGGGTCTTACTTCTATTAATTTACTAAAATTCACTTTTTCTTTTGGTATTCATACATTTATGAAGTACAAATTCAAAGTGCTATCTTTAAACTTGCACTCAATCTCTCTCGATTTGTTTCATAACTCACGTAGCAAAGACACATTATATCTTACAGTGCACTTAGTACATTTACACTTTAAAGCTTTATATGGCACCGATAAATGTTGGTGAAATTATTATTTTTTTCATCCTGCTTTCTTTGCACTTGACTGAACAACAGACTATCCGTCGATTTAATTCCGTTATGTTCTTACGTCGTGCGTACAGGTGAATTAATGTGTGTAAGTATGTACTACGCACATGGGTAAATACACTTCACTTGCCATTTTGTCTGCGTGTATTGCATTGCACTTCAGGTGACACTTCATGTATTTAAACAGTGAACAGCGACAGTGGTGAGTGAACTTGTCTACGATCCTGATAAAACTGTGTTCTCTTCTTCAAACTGTATAATATCAGTAGCAAATGGTATCTAAACCAAGTTTGGACCTTCCCTTCGTTGATTTGGCCGAAAATTATCACTAAATGCAGTGTGAGCATGCACATTGGTGGTGTTGTACTGGCCTCATCGCCTTCCTATGAGCTATGCTGGTCTTGATAGGTGGTCGCTAGAAAAGCACTCATCGCAACAGTTTAGAAAAAAAAAATGTAGCGAATTATTTTATGTGTGACATTCACACCGATAGAGCACCGGATACATAAGAAAAATAGATAAATAAAAAAGTGTCAATGTTCTGTGAGTTGACGTCAGCCCACAGAGCCACAGACCCATGTGACAGCCACCTACTCCAGCACGTGCAGGGAAACCAGTTCGCCCGGCACACCCTGACGGACTTCACAGCCGGAGACGATGTGCACCATGGTCTCCTGCTCCCCGCAATCACACAACGGGGCTGTCGCGTAGTACGCCCCATTGATGTTTGGAAGCGGCACAAATCCCCTGGTCACACCGGAAGCGGTTGAACTAAACGCACACCGGCGCCTTGAGAGGTCGAAGCCAGGCATCTAGACCGAAGGATCTCCGATGAGGTCCTTGTTAAGCACACAAATTTCCATTCCTCACCCGAGGCAGTGCGGGTGTCCCGCATACTCGAGTCTTCGGGTTGTAGTAGTACCCACACTGGGTGTCGGGACTTCAGACGCACGGGTGGAGGCTTGAAGATATCGACATGAAGGGGCAACTCCGGTGCCGCATATACCTTGTCCAGCATCTTGGCGACCAATTTTTTGGTGGGGGTATGTTGCAAAGTACTGGCAGCCACGTTATTGGGGTTGTCCTGATTGCATGGTGACATTCAGCTCCTGTAAGTGTCCACCAATTTGTTGTGAGCTGATCGAGTCCGTACAGGTGTGGCGCACCAGCGCCCCACGTTGAGCCAGCCAGCTGGGCTTCCCCGCGAGCACAACTTGCTGACTTTCTTCTCAAGGTGTCAGACTCGTGTCCAACGTCACTCAAAGGAACACCAGCTTCGGGTTGTGCTTTAACAACCGGCCATTCAGGTGCACTTTGACGTCATAGGTGGCTCTGGTGTTATGCAGGTGGACAACACTGCAAATGGACTTGATTGTGGCTGGCTGTCGTAGCCATCTGCCGCAGTAGTCCGCTACTCTGGCCAGGCCACTGTTCAGGGTATTTTTTTTTTCAGGCTGCCAAAGTCACAGGCTTGGGTTGCGATGCAGTTGTCATCCAGGTAGACAAATCATTGTGACTTTATAGTAGGTAGGTCGTTGATGTAAATGTTGAAGAGTGCTGGGGGCAATAACAGACCCATGAGGCAGTCCATTATTTTGTATCTTCAAGGAGCTGACCTTGTTGTTCATGTTCACTTGAAAGCAGAGGTTTCTGAGAAGAAGCTTGATGTTGTTCACATTCTCAGCACGGCAGGACTCATGACAGCTTTTGCAGAAGTTTAGTGTGCCAGATCCTATCATATTCTGAAGTAGGATATCTTTGTAGTTATCAATACGATGGCAATAAATGAAATTACAGTAGAATCAATATCTAGCTGGGTGGTACTGTAATCAACTCAACTTAGTCGAGTTTAAATGCCAGTTATGGCCAACTTGACCCATGGTTCTTCCACACTCGATAGCATGAGTATTACTCTGTGATGGTCTTGGGTCATCAAGTCCTGGGCCTTGAAGCTGGTTCGAGGACATTGTCTTAGCTCTTGCCCTAGACCGTGGTCTCAGGGTTACGGCATTGGCCAATGACTTGGCTTTGAGACACCAGCTGAGACACTTGCCTTGGCCTAGAGGAACCGGTCTTGACTGGCCTTGACACTGGCCTTGACACTGGCCCTGACACTGGCTTCCACCTCAAAGGCCCCTGGGCTTGTGGCGTTTGGCCTTTTCCATTGTGAAAACTTAACAGTGGGCATTCTATGGAGAAACCCAGCTCCCGCAATGAGAATGTGGAGTTGTCTCCACTGGCCCAGGGCCACCCTGCCGAGGTGCGTGCTGCCCTGTTGCTCGCTTGGAACAGGGGGAGCTTTGACTTTGCTTGGGTAATTGTACTAATGCAAGAGGTGATCACCACCTCACCTGGTTAATGGCCTTTAAAATTAAGATGCCGTAAAAGCACTGTGCGTGCGTAACAAGCGGCGCATGCAGCTGTGTGGAATCGATGTGCGAGTAATTAGCCTGAAGTGGCTACTTATTAGCATGGATTTTTCGCCGCCCTTCCCGCCTTACACGGGGGGGGGGGGAGAAAACCCCCCCCCACAAATGACTGCTTCTCTTGTGTTAATGAAGGACGCATACAAAGACTAGCAATGATGCCACCAAGGCTGTCAATAATGTCTACATTCTTTATCATTCATTATCGGAGTGATTTTGAATGCAGCTAGTCCATATATGTAGTTGTGTAAATGGGTAATGTCACGGTAACAGCATTACATGAATACTGCGGAGATATTGAGCACCATACTCATACCTGTCAACCTATACGGTTTACCCGTATTCTTGTACAAGAAAATTGAGTTGTCAGGTCCATTCCCGTACAGCCGTTTCAATATGGGTAATTTTTGTTGGTCTTATTTGTATGTGTTTCTCCCTTGTGATGGGACTTTGTAAGATGAACATTGAGATGTATAAGGGCAAGGGTGTGACCAATAAGATCTGAATTTGTCTGTAATAAGGTAGGCACTGATAAGGCGTTGACAGGTATGCATACTGAAACGGGCTCTTTTATATACTTCGCCAAGCTGCTGTGTGTAAAAAAAAAATGTAGACACTCTAGAACTCCAAATTATGTTTACGTTAATTTTTTTTAATCAGGTTCTGTATCTCATGTTGAAATCACGTTAACGCGTAATTGACCATATGCAGAGCATATGTGTGCGATTGCAATGCCTGCGCATACAGGCGAAATACACTGGCCTCATATGAAGTAGGTGTGTGTGTGCCCCTCTACCCCTGGAACATCCTTGCAAATGAGATTTTCCATCTCAAAGGGATTTTCCAGGTGATTTTCTTTAATAAGTGAAAGCTGAATACAACGAGCCAATAATGCAGTGGGCTTCATAACCGTGCATACGAGCTACAACCATATCACCCTGATTGCGCCTGATTTTGTCATATCTCGAGAGGGAAGGAGGGCTGCCCCTTGGTATGTGTTCGTCACCAATGCATGTCAGGTGTCGCAGACTGTGAGGTGGCCAGGAGATGGTAGGATGCATTTATTGGGTCTCAGGTGGACTTTAATGTATTTGTGTTTTCGGTTGGTAAGCAAGTGCGTAGAACTGAACAGCACATCAGAAAGCTATACAGGAGTCTAACTAACCGATGTAGTATATACACGGCATATGTGTCAGGGTTTCCCAAACACGTCGACGTGACCCACCATGCCAATACATCTTTCCGCATTTACCAATTACTCCCATTCAAATACAAATTAAGTTGTTTCACGCTGCTCACGTCTGATGATTGATAAACGCTGTGCAATTAATGCGTTCTGTGTTAACAGAGAGCTGATTCAGTTACAGATTGAGGTCCTGGTATGCGTGTGGAGTACATGTTTTCTCTGTGCGGCAGACAGCGTGAATTGCTTCGCGCATCACGTGGGATATTAACAATTATCAGGCGAGTGGAGCGACTTAATTTGCATTTGAGTTGGAGTACATTGGAAAGACCTAGCATGGTAGAGTGATGGGTCACGTGGACTGGAGTTCGGGAAACCTTGATATAAATGCTGAGCATATCAAAGCAAATCAATGCAACTTGGAGATAGAACTTGACGAGAGCTGAGCCCCTTGTCATCACTGACAAGGGGCTCAGCACTCACCTTCTCGGCCTCCTGGTGGTGCACGTAGTGCTCCAGGTGGAGCCCCAGAGTCCAGAGGTCACTCGTCACCAGATCCTCCATCCCACCCTGGCGACAGCGGAACAAAGCGGAACGATGTGGGAGCCATCTCCGCGCCGCCTGCTCGCATCTCGAGCGCACGGGCCGGTTCGCACAGCAGTGGAAACACCGGAGCGCACTGCCGAGGCAGCCGTTCGCGGCGCTCCTGACAACAAAGCACCTGCAGCAGCTCCCAGGTGGCCCTGCAGCCTGCTGAGTCGCTTCATGGCTGAGAGAGAGAGAGAGAGACGGGTCGGGCTTGCCGAGGTGACGGGGTCATTTCAGGAAACTCTTCACATGTCCCAGGTTTCGTTTCTGCAAAAATGCATTGTATCTGAAAGGCTTTCATCTGATCGTAAATAATGTGTGTGTGTGTCTGGGAAACTGGTGGCACAGTTATTGGCACGCTGAGCTGCGATCCCAGTAACCCCGGTTCAACGCCAACTGCACAACATCGGTGGAAGATGGTATCTGATCCTGCCTTAGACTTTTCCATGCTAAACTTGACCTTGTTCATTGTGTGTATTGCTAGCCACACTGACTCCTTGTGTTTGGCCAATATTTAAAAGGTATCCAAAAGCAGCTCTTGCTGGAATATTCTGGAAGGCTGTATGCTTAAGGAAGGAATATGCTTAACTTCGCTGAAAATAAGTTGGAAAATGTAGTTGTAAGTGCCAAGCTTATTAGACAAAAACAAATTCAAAAGAAACAGCAGCCCACACATCCCTTAAACATGATCCTTCCTCCCGACCTGCCTGCCCGCAGTGACGTCACCACCATCCACACTCACTTGGCCGTGCACCAGCCAGCCAGGCAGGAATCCAGCCTTTGAAAGTTTGTCAAGGTTACTATGATATTAATACATATTTCACACAAAGCTCGGTAATGGGCATTGCCCACTTTCAATCAGCTTTACCATGACCAGGGGTTAGTAACCAAAATAACAATGAGAGAGACTTTTTCGAAATTGGTAAAAAAAAACCTCAAGATTTCAAGAGCCGCAATGCGTGTGAATACAAGAGACAATCCTTAATAAATAACGTCTCGAAGCGGTCCTTAAAGATCCGCAGATTGCCAAACCCTCCGAAACAGTTGGGTAACGTGATATCTGATAATGGGCATTGAACACTTTAATTGTTTAGCATATGCCTTCAAGTAATGTATGGCTTTCGACAGATCCTACCCAATGAATACATGCAATACATCTCCAGGCCATAATTTTTGGAGGACCAAAGTAACAATATATCGTTTTTAAGTTTTTACAGTGACAAGCATAGACTCAACATTATATTTGCCAATTTCAGCTGGCTGACCCTTCTCGAACATTTAATGTATGTCAGTCATATTCTTATTTTCTGTCATGATTATCCATTTATTTTAGATACACTATTCATAATATTTTCACCTCTCTCATTGTTATACACACAGCCCATTAGAATAATATTTTCTAAAAGCTGACACCAATGTACAATAGTTATACGTTCTAACTACAAAAAAATTATCCCCATTTAGCCATACAGATTGCAGTCTGAATGTTCCATTGCGCATCTGTGCGTTGACCAAGGCTAATTATATCAGGCTCATTGTGGCAGCCCCCAGTCCTTTGCCCCGAGTGGAATAATACAAGCGCATCGACGTCATGAGCTTGGAAACGACACCGTCCGAGTAAAACGTACACCATCGTCCTCGGTCAGGGTGAATAAACGCCGAGATCAGCACGCAGGCACTCGCTCACGACCCTCTGCGCACCACGCGGGGATTTACCGTGATGCGCAATAATTGCCGGTGGGCTTTGCGGCGACAATGCATCAATTTACGGGCGCGTAGTCAGTCATGGGGATGGCCAATTAAAACGACCCAAAGATGCTACTCTTGTGATTCTTGCTAGGTTTTCTTTTGAAGTAAGTATTGCTGACCAATTTGCTTTCGAGGGTCGCACACGGAGGACTCTTTGCTCCCCGACCCGGGACTGTGCGAGCCTTTTAGTTTCCGACCTGTCACTTCCCACGAGCTTGCTAATCCGAGGGTCACGGAGTGGCCACGAAGCCGTCCACTCTCATTCCGGTAACGACCGGAACGCGATGATGAAAGCCCTCTGCAAAACGTCGCCTTGCATCGTGCAATTTGGTGTCCTGAAGGCTGCTTATAGGTCCACTGCTGAATGAAGGCTTCCTTTGTGCCGTGTCACAAAGGAAGCCTTTGTGACACGGCAGGTTGGTGAAGGAGGACGTTTAAGACATCAGTCGCCACAAATGTTAGCCATGGGTTGGGAATCGAACTTTCACGAATGGGTTCACGGCGCAGTGAGCTAACCACTTTGCCGCCACTCCCTCCCTTGTGTATCGTAGGTGGCCGATGTTGCCGTTCGTTGCGCCGTACCTAAAAGCCAAAGTGTGTCCCCATCAACAAGCGTGGGATGGCACTGATCTCGATTGGCAGTCAGGAGCCGGTAGCAGTAACTCAACCCTCCCATACTCTTTGGGTCTTTCGGTAAAGTCACACTGCAGTGCTTCCAGAGGACAATGGTGACCACCGTTGGCTCTTCACAAATTGGTACTTATTGTATCAATCCATGAAGGATGACAAGCTGAGTCAACACACGGCCGGGATTTGAACTCAAAATCTCCAACCGAGTCGAATTCTCTGCTGCTGCTGCTGCTGCTGAAAATTGTGCTATTATTGCATCACTGTATATATTGTTTTCTTTAATTCGTGTTTTAAATACGTTATATTGATTGGTAGTGTAGTTGTTATTTAAGGTGAGCACCTCTTTTCATTATCCATTACCTGTGATTTCCATTATCTGCGGGAGCCGTTGAATCTGAGAATACTCCTATAAATCAGCGACCCTATAATTCCAATTATACGCAGCTACCTGGGTTATTCTCCTGAGGACAAGTGCAGTAAAATCGCACCTAACTCCCCGGATAATGGGATACACGATATTCGTCCCCCACATCACCATGGACATTTCCTTAGCATGTTCAGTGCTCAATGCAATAGGCACAACCCATCGAGCCAAGCCTTGTGTGCTTATATTAGAAGTGTGCTTATATCAGAAGTTTCCCTTCGACTTCTGCCTGCATCAGTGCAATCTATGCATGTGTCGCTTATATGAGAACTGAGCTAATATAAGGTGTGCTTACAGCCAGCTTATGCTGTTGTAACAGCAATACTAAGATATTGAACAAAGCCAATGTGTTTGCGATATGGTACAGGCTGCACTGCACAATTTATTTTGGGGGATGTGTAATTGTCTAATATATACGAGGCGGCGCGTGCTGGTCACAGAAGTAGCACATGCATTAGCGGTGGTTGCTGTTTTGATAGAAAATAGACTGATTAACATAGCCTACAATGCCCATTCATCTCACGGGTTTAGTCATTGGGTCTGCAAATCAATAGGCATGATATGATGTATTGAAGTTTCTGATTGCATAACATGGATCCTGTTTTTCAAACAGAGCATTAGTCAACTGAAATTAATATTTATTTATGTATGTACGTGAGTCTCCGCGCTTAAACATGTTTGTTTTTGTCAACACTTCCTGCACAAGACCAACGTCATGTCAAAGTTTCCGCTTCAGAAAATGGGAAATCGGGCGTTGTTCATATCCCCCAGAGCCAGTGGTATGAATTCCACATTCCCATGGCAATCACCATTCTCAGTGTAGGATGACCACTGGTGACTTCCAGGAGGTGTGCTGGGTACGTATGTATCGTGTACACTATACTTTATGTAATATACACAGAGACGTTTAATGTTTTAGAAGCCATCAATCTCTCGGCATGGTGGCCCACAGTTATAATCCATCACTCTGTGTGGCAGGTTGGGTGGATTACACAGAGATTGGCAATGACATGCAGCAGTACAGCAAGTAGGTTGACAACCTATCTACCTGGTTGTGATTTTGGGATCTCAAAAGTACCGGCCTATTGTCCCTGACGTGCACATTACTAGTCTCCTCCAGAGCCACCTGCAAATAATTTATTTAATGTTAAAAATATATATATTTTTAAGTTATCCTAGATTAATATGGTCAAAGTAGAGCCACACAGAAATTATCTTCAAGTGCTTTTATGCACGCACGTTCTTCAACTTTCAAATTCAAGCAATTTTCATGCATTTATAATGGTTTTCAAGTGATTCAAACGACATGGGTATCCGTGAACTCACTCTAGGCTGTGCCCAAAGGGGAGATAGAGTAATGAAATCAGGGCAGGTGTCAGAAAAAGATGAATTACAGCTGCATGAGACAGGAGGTATGCACACCATTATGCACAATAAATGTCCTTTGTCAGTATCATTCGCTTAGTGAGATGTTTTTTTTTAAACTAAGTATGCTCTGTGCAAAATGAGCATTGATTGTCCTATGGAAAAAAAACTGACCCTGTCATAGGAATGTGGAAATGACACAGAAAATAGCCGTTACACACCACGCAAAAAATTGTGCCGGTTAATTGGTCAGGGCGGATATATAACGGTCGATATTCAAAGTTGTACCGTAATAAGAAAGCATTATAAGTGTATTAATTCTAAACAATATTTTCTGGATGCGTAAATAGATACCAGATCTGGTCTTGAATGCGATAAAAAAGTGATTTTCTTTAAAAAAAAATATATCCTACCTTGAGCCAAAAATCACATTGGGAACCCAGTGGTGTTTAAACACACAAACCCACAATTGCATTGTCGACAATAATCATGCTTGTTATTTTTTTTTTCATTGAGCGTGTGAGCCCTGCTGTCCATACGGGGAGCTGTTGCGGCTATGTTTGTTTAATAATCTCTGCAGTCAGAAATCTGAGACTACTTCACACTCCTCTTTACTTCTGCCGCAGGTGCTCCGCAGCCATCCTAGAACTCTTTTCTCTCTAAAAACTCCTTTAAAGAGCTTTGAAAAGAGTCTCTCTGATGACCCTTCCTTGAATAGACAACAAATGCGATCGTGCCCTTTTAAAAACAAAAACAAAAAACTCTTCAATATGGAGTGCTGAGGATCATTATTGAAAGTGTTGCGTGTAAACGCAACTATTTATTCTCTCGGCTTTTTCTGTAAGGGGGGTAAAAACCAAAAGAGGTAATTCATGTGCTGTTGGTGTTTTCATTTTTAATAGTTGCTTTGTCATCGTTTTTTTTTAAGCCTACGGGCTTTTTTTATTTTACAAAAAATTCAATGCTGATGAAAATAAATGGTTCAACCGAGGTGAAACATGGCGGCGAGGCGCACCCACATATTCATCGTCTCTTTTTAATGCCAGCATCTAATAATAGTGCCTTTTGTTAATGCTTTGAATGGAGGCTGATTGATAATGTGTGCTCAAATATAGCCGTTGCATACAAAGGCGCACATGCCCCCACCATGCAAGCCACATACCCCTGGCATTGTAATTAAGAAGTCACGTTCCTGCACAACTGGAACTGTACCACACTTTACGAGTGTCTCTCCCACTTGGCTGTGATGGGAATTTTTAAATAACGCCACTGTTTACCAAGGCTGGGAACTGCTTTACCATCTACTTTCAGGGCCACTTGCTTATTGGGTTTCATAGTGTACGTGAGCAATTCAACGTCAGGCGCACGACCTTAAATATCGTTCTGTTTAATATCAAGTATCAATTTATTCATTCTGACAGAAAGCTATTTGGTGACATTTGCAAGTATTCGACATTATATGGTTGCGGTGTTTAGGAATACTGAATGCACATTGTTTGGTCTTAAAGCAGTCATGTTTCATTCATTTTTCGAATTGGGTGTGGAGCACAAACGGTAGATTTCCAGACTTGTCCTTAACATTTACGTTGATCTGCAGTTATTTGTTTTTCAACATGTATTTTAAATGCAGCTTCGCAGCAGAGAATGCTGTTTACCTTTGCAATGTGCATCGTGTCCGACAACTTTACGAGTGTCCTGCAAAGTGAACAATACAGGAGAGAGAGAGTGCATGAGACACTAAGACACAGAGAACAACATCAATTAATCCATTCATAGCTCCTGGGAAACTCATACGGGCATGCTCATACAAATGCAAAGATCCCCCGTATAGCCTTAACAGACTGTAGGGGCAAGTGCTGTTAGCGAGCACCTGTGAAGGCCGGAACGGTACACGAGGGGGTGGGTGGCCAGCACCACGCCTGACCGCCTTTGTCTCCTCATTGGCGATGTTTACACACCGCACTAGGTACTCATTTGAGGCTGAGTCGACCTAGGGGAGGCCCAGGACCGGTTCAGATAATCCGTCACTGGTGTTGGCCGTGAGCGGGAATCGAACCCGGGTCGCTGGGCTCATAGCGCAGCGTAGCGCTAACCGCTATACCACCGCTCCCCATGCTCATATACACACACAGGCAACATAGACAAAGATCCATTAATATACTTTTGGGGACATTGCACGAAGGGATCAGTGGCCAACACCAATCAAGCCAAGCCAGCCGCCTTTGTCTCCGCTGACGCTTACACATAACACCAGGCAACTCATTTAAGGCTGCGTCATCGACCTAGGTGAGGCCCAGGACTGGTCCAAATATTTGCCGCTGTTATTGGTCACGAGCGGAAATCGAACTCGGGTTTGCCGGATTCCAAACGCAGTATGCAAACCACTACCCTACCACCACACATCCACATGTGCCAGCACACACAGACTGCACCACAAAGACGTGCATTTTTTTTCTCCCAAAACCTGATCAACATTTTTTTTTTTTGCACAAGCACAATGAACTTTTTACTTTCTTTTCCAACTTCATCGTTTTAAATCCCATCCGCAAACACAAGCTCCCCCTGGTAATTTCCCAAACGCACAACAGCACCTTAACTATCTCGGCAAGCCTGCTGTGTGCAATTAACCTCATTTGCAAAAATACTAATTAAAAACTAATTAGAGGCTTCCAACCAAACCAAATATACGCCTCCCTTTCGTCTAACTTTTTTTTATCACACTTCCTCTGATGATGACCTTTTTCCACAGCACATCAATTAAACTGTGTATTTACCATTCATTTAATTGTCATTCATAGTGGGTCATGACAAAAGCAGACAAAATAATACAATTATTCATCGTTGGCGCCGTGGTCCATTCACTGCTGGATGGAGGACTCCCCATGCTGTTACCATCTCTCAACAGTCCCACAATGCAACAGTCCATCTCGCTTTTCTGCATGAGCCGATTTCATAACTCCACCACCGTGGTGGTCACCTTCTCAGGCTGCCATTCCCTCCCATCAGCCATTGTCACTAGCAGCGATGTGGCCATGCACTGCGAGGTGGCTAAGAGATGGAGTACAGAATTTGATTCTTAACTATATCTATATGGAGCTCCGAGTGATTCCCTCTTCCATATGGGCTTTCTCTGGGTACTCCGGTTTCTTCACATATGCCAAACATTCAATAAATTTGGCCAATCATCCCAATGTAAAACCTTCCTGATACAAAAGTCTTGAGACTCAGTGAGGCTTCTATTTTGAATTTTTTTTTAAATAAAAGGTAAAGATGCAGCCCTGTTATTTCCTGCTCGCACCACTGCTGATGGACTAAATGGAGCTCTAGAGAGCCCCTCGAAAGGGTCACGTGACTGGATCTTCCATGCTGTTCAGACGTCTTGAAAGAGGTGAGAGTGACCATGCTTATTCCAGCACACGCAGCCTGCCACTAAACGCAGCTCATTAATACCGCTGGATGGACAGTGGTGGGGGAATTTAAAGAAACTTGCATTATCATTTCAACTGCTGCAACAGAAGATCAAAACAGCAAATTGTGGATTGTAAGTCCGGTTTGCTGACCATTCATTAGACCAAAGCAGAATCGCAGAGCCCTCGTGGTAAAAGGCTGATTATACAGGAGGTGTTCAGTCCAGATTACAATTTGACTCCCAATTAGCAGTCTTATTGTATTGCTCTTAAAATATGGTCGTAATAACAATGGAGGTAATCTGCCTGAGCTGATTCGCGCTGCAGGCAATTATGTGAGCAATATTTGAAATTCCTCATGTGATAGAGTTGTACATATTTTTGTGAAAATTTCTTTTTTCGCTTTTGTCATATTGTTTACCCAGATCATTCTTGCAAATACGGCTGTCCCTAGTTTCTTGAGTTCTCACCGTGTTAAACAAAATACACTTGAACAAGAGCAAAAAAAATGCAACTCCATTCACCTACAGGCGCACGGTTCGAATCAAGAAAGCTGCCATGGTTAACTCTGGCGGTGAGGTAACAGTAAAATACGCACCGTCTGCTTTCACAGTGGGATCTTAACGATCCCATTCTATGCTGTCATCGTGGCCCAAATTTGCCAAGTTCCGAAAAAAAAAACCTCGCAAGCTACTTAACGGGGGAACACGTAGAAATAATTACTCCCTTAAGGCAAAAACGTGGCCCAACCCTCCTAAAAAAATAGAGACTCGGGACTCACCGAGGTAATCCTGGGTAAAAAAAATAATAATAACTCGACCATAGTTCATATTTATTTCCAGAAGAGACTTATAGACACTCCGCGCATATTAAAACATCCATGCATCAGTAGGTGTGGCCACGTCTGCAATGAATATTTTGCATGCGGGAGGAAATTGCGGTAGCACCCCGGTTTATGTCGGGGATGCGTTCCTAAAAGGTGCGACGACGGATATCATAATGATGTGACTCAAAGCGAAAGACAACGGATGGTACATTTAAGCTGTATGTGAACAAGCGCATCTTCATCCTAGACGTAACCCACAACGCTCAATTAGATTACAAAGCGCAAGTGTATCCAACGCTCGTGTAACAGCAGTGAACTTTAACACAAGCGATGCAGGGTACAACAAGGTACAGTGCACTAATAACAATTACCAAAATACTGCACGTAAATAACCTGCTGTACATTTCTTCATGCGGGACGCAAAGTAGCTCGCGTGCAGGGCAGCAGGTGGAGGCGATGGCTGAGAGGCGACGGACACGAGAACGGACGGACGAGGCTGCCAGCGACGCGGGCTCGAGGCGACGCAAATCAGGTGCAGGCGTGCTTTTGATAAAGTGACGACGTATTCGCGAAAACGACGTGAAAAGGGGGGCAAGCCGTAAATCGGGGCGTCACTGTAATTGGGGTTGGGGGGCGGGGAGTCCACATCCGTGAGGGGGATATCCCGAAAACAATCCACGCAAACAGATCACAAACCGACTTTCGGTATTGCTATCTCCTGACCACCTCACAGCCCGCTGCATAACGCAAATAGCTGGGTGGCTGTATTCCCCGTTGGGCGGTGATAGTGCAGTCATGCACCTGCCGTTCCCTAATCATCGCTGTCATCAGCTCACTGCTGGAAGGAATCCTCTCCATGCTGACACGGCTGTTATCACAGGGGGCCACGTTCTGCAGCAGCAAGTGATAGGCGGCGGAGGGAGAGGCCTGTGTGGGGAGGGAGGGAGGGAGGCACGCTGCCCGATGCCCTGAGCCATTTGTCCCTGCCGAGGTACAAGGATTGACGTTAATGTCCCTTCAAAGATGACGCATGCACGAGCAAACCAAGACCCGTCTCAAATCGTGGACAATTGATGATGGCACGTTGCTGCTGCTGCTGATGCTTCTGCTGCTGTTGATGGTGCTAATTGCTGATAACCAAAACGTATGGGGAGGCAGCCGTTCGAGTCTATGGTCCTCACCTTTAAAATGGCCTGCCTGATGATCTGAGGGCATCAGAATCAGTTTTTAAACGAAATCGTAAAACTTACCTTTTTATAATGGCTTTAAATAAGGATGCTCTTATTGTGTGTTTATTTGTGCTTTTTTTAAATCACACTTTTAGTTTATTACGTTACGTTATTTTTTTTTTAAATCTATCGTTCTTATTGATGTTTACATTGTTGTCAATCACTTTAAATATGTGTCCCTTGAAGTACTTTGTGTTGCATTCTTTGCACGATTTGTGCTATTTTTGTTAAGTTTGATTTGATAATGATGTAGCTCTCCGATAGTTATTCGGGTTTCCGGAGAATGCTCCCAGCGCGTCCAGGGGAAGTGCGTCTGACATCGTGCTGAACAACACGCGCGCTATGACCCAGAACAAAACCATCGGAGAGCCGTACAGCGCAGCAGTGGTCACGATGGTTGCCGATCACAATTGATAACATTACAATGATGATGGTTATCGCCGATAACTGGTGTTATGATGATTGCTGATGACTGCTTCAAAGTTGATGATGGTGATGATGATTATCATCATCATCAACTTCCTCATATGTAATTCACAATGCATCTCAACCCACAGCCACTAAGAACATGCCAACAGATATATGCATAATTAACCTGACGTGCTATACATGAGAAAAATGCATTGACTATAAAACAGTAAATATTGTCAAATTAGTTTGCACAAATATATAAGTGCTGTGATATACAGTGAATGACATGAAACATATGGAAGACACATAAAATCAATTCTGTTTCATTAAAAACAGAATCAACCGTGGTTTTTTTTTTGCCTAAGCGATTTATTCCATACCCTGATGATGATTTGTTGTTAACAGCTGTTGGGAGGATGATGATGATGAATGTAAAAGGCATTTCATTTGACATAATAATACAACCGACATACGAGGCAAGATGGGTCGGTGAAGGGGGGTGATGGCCGTGCCCTGGCTGCCTCCCCAGGACTAACATTGCCGTTTCTGCGAGCGAGTGAGCGATGGGCGCGCTGCAGGTCAGCCGATCCGCTCAAAAATAAATGAGTGCTACGCGCCGGCTGTGACGGCGCGGAGACAAAGGCATGCTGGGCACACTGCCAAGCCTCCGTAATGGACATTAATGCAGCTCCTAGTAAGAAGTGGCTGACCCGACTGCGGGGCCAAAAGGCGGTGTGCATAGAGGTGTACATGTGTTTTCGCGCGCATGTGTTTGTGTGTCAGCATGCCCGCGTTTGCAGGTGTGGATGGATGCATGTGTGTATGTGCGAGTGTGCATTACAGTCTGTATGTGTGTGCGTGTGGTGGTGAAGTATTGTGAGTAGCGGTGTAACTGTTTACGCGCTATGCTTCATTCTCAGTTTTCTGGGTTCTGTTCTTGCCCATGGATTATGTCAGTGGCAAGTGAATGCTAAATCTGTCCTCTCCCTCCCCTGAGTCAACTCAGCACTAAATGAGTGCCTGGTACTATGTGAAAACAGCACTTGGGAGACAAAGGTGGCCATTCACACCCTTGTGTGCTTAGGTGGCATTAACAGTTGGTTTCAATTCGCGCCTGCCCTAGCAGTCTGTCTTTCTGTGTGTGGAGTGATGTAAATTTAAATTTGATTCCGAGCAGTTTACATTTAGAGTCTGAATTTTTTTAAATATTCTAAATCATCCTTTTAAAAAGCTGAGCCAGTCGTGGAAATTACAAATCCCCATCGTGGGTACCAGCCCAGCCACGAGAAACACACTCTTGACTTTCCACAGAGTTGTACATACTTTATTGACCATAAGGTATGATGGGGCTGAGTCAACTTCCAGCTCACAAACTACCAAATGGAAGTCGAGTGCTCTTATCGCAGCAGCACCACGAAATGAAGCGTAGCTCACAGCCGTGGGTGTCTCATGCAATGCACTGATGGACATTCGTAATCATTTACAGCACTTTGTCAATCCACGTAGGATATGAAAGCCTGCCCATGATGTGTGGGTAATGGGGGATTGTTTTACCTACGTGACCATCCGGGTCAGGTGCGAGTTGGTGAAGAGAGGGCCAGGATCAGTTTGGGACACTGATGTTAGCCATGGCCAGGAATCAAACGCGAGTGGTTTTATGGCGTACTACACGGACCATTGCACCACCACTTTCCTTAAAGCAACAAGGAAGTTCATGGTTAAAGCACTTCTCTTTATGCAGATGTAAGTATTTTTTCCCCCTGTCCCCTCCTCTTTAGGCCCCATGCCTTCCTCCGGAGACAGGTTTGGGAACTGTGAGACTTAGAAACTCTGGACTCAAGCTGCGTTGTTGATTTGAGCGAGAGGCAGCATGAGTGGGTAGTGGTGGGGGTTGTGGAAGCGGAGGGGGGGGGGGGTCCAGCAGTACGTAGTGGTGGGTGGGGGCAGCAGGCAGTGGTGGGTGGAGACAGCAGGTGGTGGTGGGTGGAGACAGCAGGCAGTGGTGGGTGGAGACAGCAGGCAGTGGTGGGTGGAGACAGCAGCAGTTGGGGATGGGGGCAGCAGGAAGTGGTGGGTGGGGGCAGCAGCAGTGGTGGGTGGGGACAGCAGGCAGTGGTGGGTGGGGGCAGCAGCAGTGGTGGGTGGAGACAGCAGGCAGTGGTGGGTGATGTTATCTGATTAATTCTCAAATCTTGCAGATACTTACTTGGGTTTTATGTCCCTGACTGTTTCACATGAGGTTGAAGCTTTGCTTGTGAGATTTAATATGTCAAAGTTACATTCGAATGTGTGTCGGTGGCAATCAAGTGATCTGACTAATGTCGATCCCATTAATTTTAATATGTTAATGCAGTGACAACATCAGAGCTTGCTGTGGTTGTACACCTGATTGATGTTAAAGTATTTTTTTATTTTAAAATAATATCTAAAATACGTTTGTTTTAGGTTACAAATTTACTTGAAGGAATTTCCACCAATACACTTATTATTATTCAACGTATTATATATTCTTAAAACTTGCTGAAGTAGTATTTGTATAATGTCTGGAATTCTGCCAAGTACACCCCTATTCCAGCTGTCAGATCAGGCTTTTAGTGGCATATGTATTTCTATGTGTGTGCGTAAATCTGATACTGGGCTCTCCGTAGGTCAACTCAGCTGTAAAGGAGTACCCAGTGCAGTATATAAACATCAGCACTGCGGAGACATGTGGATGGACTTGGCTCTGGCCACACCACCTCATGCGCCGTGCCGACATTAATAGATGTTCATTGACAGACACTTGACCTGCCGAAGGTCGCACGTGGAATCACTGTCTCTGTACGTGTGCATGTGCGTCACAGGTCACCTGCAGAAGAGCTTCTCATTGTAGCTGTCGTTCTCGGATATCGTGGACAGCAACGTGGTAGACAAATGACCACAGGCCAGTGCAAGCCCTGAAGAAGAGAAGGCATGTCAAGGCTTCCCGATGGGCCTCCCACAGCTACTAAGTTAGAGGCACTGCCCCACATCAATATCATGTGTACAAATCCCATAAAGATCATTGCATAAATGATCGCCCAGTAAAACAACACCGCGTCTCAAGAGCATCTTTACAGGTGGGTTCTGCTTGAGATTTTTGGCTGGTTATTTTTGTTTCTGTTTTGTAGAGCGGATGGAAACTGGAGCGCCTGGAGAAAACCCACACTTACTATTCAAATTTGTACAAATGGCACGTGAACTTAAATATCACTCTTCCTAATAAAAACAAGCTATAAGGCAATGCTTGGCTGTTAAAGACCCAAAGCCAGAAGTGGAAATTCTTCATTTCCAGCCTGATGATTGCTGTGGAATTTCAACAAAACGGTATTTGCTTTATTGGCGATGAAAATAGCAAGGCTGAGTTTAACTCTAACATGTGTTGTACTTTTGCAACCTGTCCGATTGTGATCCAAGTGTTCTGACCATTAGGTCACCCAGTAACCTACTTGCTACATAGCCCCTCACATTAATAAAAGTTCAATCTCTTCATAATCGACCACACCACCTCTATTCCAAGCATGGGCTTCAACTAGACATGGCTAAAAACATACTTCGGTGGAATCTCAAATGCATGTTTAACGACGCATGACTTAAAAATAAACTCCATGCAAAAACTTACTTTGCTCGGCAACTGCCAACTCCAGCAGTTTCTGTGATGAAAGAAGAAAAAAATCAGTCAATTGTATTGTGGATTTGTTTGCAAATGTGAAATGAGAAATTATGAACAACAAATATGTAAACAAACATTAACGACACGACAGTAATGTGACTTTTCAACTCGTAGGGTTAACACATTTTCATGAAAATCCTAAATAACCTTTCTTTATAGTCATTGGAACCTCCTTTGCCAGTAGCAAAATATGATAATTGGTTTTTACCCTTTAATCTGGCAACAAAATTGACACCTTTTTTACAAGGAGTCATGTTTGCATTGACCACAATACCTGCGGTCGGAATGCAAACATAAAAAAAACATAACTCTGATAAAGTATTGGCACTGTCCTTGAAATTGATTGGTCCACACTCGAGACAGCTTTCCTTAGAGCCTAGTCTCACGTGGTGTTGGACCAGATGACGCCAAAAGTCTCGGAGGAAAGCTGTCTCGGGTGTGGACCAATCAATTTCAAGGACAGTGCCAATACATTTTCAGAGTTATGTTTTTTGTTTGCATTCCGACCGCAGGTATTGTGGTCAATGCAAACATGACTCCTTGTAAAAAAGGTGTCAGTTTTGTTGCCAGATAAAAGGGTAAAATAACAATTATCCACCTTTCTTTATATTATGATGTTAAACATTATAAAACAAGAAATCAGAATGAAAACTTATTCATGAATAAAATTGCTTGATTAAATCCCGCATCAATTTGTTTTAAAATCTATCAAAGTTAATTGTGCTGCTTTTCTATTGGCTGGGTCAAGACCATGTGGCTTGTGTCACATTATTAGTATTGCAGTAAATGGTACGTTTGCATTAATATTCCACTGAATGAAAAGCAATTTGTGCAAATTTGAAACTGTCTTTTCAGAGTTGCATTTTAATGCGAAATGTTTACTTTGCGCTTTGACGTGTTAATATTTTTCGCTGAAAATATAATGACACAAAATTACCCTGGGAAGATGGCTAATCTACTAAAACTATGCAAATAAATAGAAGTTGCCCGTTTAGATAATGTATGCTTTTACACGCGAAAAGGCAGCGAAATATATAAATAGTCGCACTGCTACGACGGAACAAATACACAATTGTTGTAGCGCTGTTGAATTGCACTAATTTTAAATGTAGCTAAAGGCTCTTATCCCTTACCTCCAACGCAGCTTTGGATTCATTGATGAGGGTCGTGTTGACTTGCCTCTCCTGTTGAAATATGGGGTCGTTGTCCTGAGCAATACAAATGAGTTGTAAAAAGTAATCAATTTATTATCCCATACATCACGAATGCATTCTTCACAAGATGATGACGACTGCACACCAAACGCCACTCCTCGACCCGTACTCAAATGCAATCGCAGCGTTCATAATTCATACTCTGCTCTCTGCTTCTGCAGTCTTGAGATATGGCCATATGTAGGTAATCTCCAAATCCACATTATTATAAGATAATTTCATTTTATGTAAATCTGCTCATTTTTGTGAGAATATAAAAAAAATCTATTGGTACAGTGAGGAAAACAAGTATTTGATCCCCTGCTGATTTTGTACGTTTGCCCAATGACAAAGAAATGATCAGTCTATAATTTAATGGTAGGTTTATTTGAACAGTGAGAGACAGAGTAACAACAAAAAAATCCAGAAAAACGCATGTTAAAAATGTTATGAATTAATTTGCCTTTTAATGAGGGAAATAAGTATTTGACCCCCTCTCAATCAGAAAGATTTCTGGCTCCCAGGTGTCTTTTATACAGGTAACGAGCTGAGATTAGGAGCACACTCTTAATGGGAGTGCTCATAATCTCAGCTTGTTACCTGTATAAAAGACACCTGTCCACAGAAGCAATCAATCAATCAGATTCCAAACTCTCCACCATGGCCAAGACCAAATAGCTCTCCAAGGATGTCAGGGACAAGATTATAGACCTACACAAGGCTGGAATGGACTACAAGACCATTTCCAAGCAGCTTGGTGAGAAAGTGACAACAGTTGGTGCGATTATTCGCAAATGGAAGAAACACAAAAGAACTGTCAATCTCCCTCGGCCTGGGGCTCCATGCAATATCTCACCTCGTGGAGTTGCAATGATCATGAGAACGGTGAGGAATCAGCCCAGAACTACACGGGAGGATCTTGTCAATGATCTCAAGATAGCTGGGACCATAGTCACCAAGAAAACAATTGGTAACACACTACGCCGTGAAGGACTGAAATCCTGCAGCGCCCGCAAGGTCACCCTGCTCAAGAAAGCACATATACATGTCCGTCTGAAGTTTGCCAATGAACATCTGAATGATTCAGAGGACAACTGGGTGAAAGTGTTGTGTCAGATGAGACCAGAATGGAGCTCTTTGGCATCAACTCAACTCGCCATGTTTGGAGGAGGAGGAATGCTGCCTATGACCCCAAGAACACCATCCCCACCGTCAAACATGGAGGTGGAAACATGCTTTGGGGGTGTTTTTCTGCTAAGGGGACAGGCCAACTTCACCGCATCAAAGGGACGGGGCCATGTACCGTCAAATCTTGGGTGAGAACCTCCTTCCCTCAGCCTGGGCATTGAAAATGGGTCGTGGATGGGTATTCCAGAATGATAATGACCCAAAACACACGGCCAAGGCAACAAAGGAGTGGCTCAAGAAGAAGCACATCAAGGTCCTGGAGTGGCCTAGCCAGTCTCCAGACCTTAATCCCATAGAAAATCTATGGAGGAAGCTGAAGGTTCGAGTTGCCAAACGTCAGCCTCGAAACCTTAATGACTTGGAGAAGATCTGCAAAGAGGAGTGGGACAAAATCCCTCCTGAGATGTGTGCAAACCTGGTGGCCAACTACAAGAAACGTCAGACCTCTGTGATTGCCAACAAGGGTTTTGCCACCAAGTACTAAGTCATGTTTTGCAGAGGGGTCAAATACTTATTTCCCTCATTAAAATGCAAATAAATTTATAACATTTTTGACATGCGTTTTTCTTGATTTTTGTTATTCTGTCTCTCACCGTTCAAATAAGCCTACCATTAAAATTATAGACTGATCATTTCTTTGTCAGTGGGCAAACGTACAAAATCAGCAGGGGATCAAATACTTTTTTCCCTCACTGTAGGTATTCATGCCGGATATGCAATCCATGATTTTGTGTGCGGGTTTGAGGGATCACAAAGATTTGATCGTGTCAATTACTCCTGACTCGCGAGACTACGAGGTGGCCAATGTGTGGCACTGCAGTAAGTTTGCTGATCTATCCATATGGATGTTAAACGTGTTTGGCTTTCTCTGAATGCCCGTTTTCTGCCACACACACAAAGTAAAGGATTGTCCTTCAACCCAATGAGCATCCTGAAAAAAAAGTCTCGACTCTCAGCGATGCTTTTTTAGTAAAATAAAGATTTATTTTCTTGCTAGATTGTTTAAATTCTTAATGGCTGCGCTTGAATACTGTCCAGGCCCATGCATTATCTGCAGCTCGTTATTCAAAGACTTGCTCTGTTTATCTGCGTTCTACCAAAGACTGCAAAATCACTGTCTAGAAGTCTCTCCCTTTGGCAGTTTGATGCACTGCTGACATCCTTTCCCTGTTCAAGTTCAGGCTCAAGGTTTTCCTCCACAGTTGTGTGTCTGTCTATGAAGTTCATTTCTTCTCATCTTCACCATCCTACCATCTCGTTTGCCTCTCCGCCCTGTATTCTCCTACCGCTCAACTCACTCCCCTCCTGAACAGAGAACCCTCCCTGTTTCCCTAGCTACACGGAGCAACGTTGCGCATTTCCACCTCTATTTGTGCAGCATCTTGAGCTGCGCTCCCATATCGATTCATCAACATTGTATCGTGTTATATTCTGAACTAGTTGAATTTTTTTTTTATCTTCTTGACCAGCCATCCGAAAATGCAACGCACACGTGACCCATGGCTGTGAGCATGAATACATTGCCACGTCGCATTAAATTGTCCGTTCATCACGATTAGGCAATGAATACATTTCTCCCGCTAATCAATTGTATCACGCCGACATTGCATTGATGAATCTACACACCGCTCAAACTAACCTTCGAAGCCATTGTATCTTGGGGTTGAGCTGAAATTGGTTGGCAAGCGGCGAGCAGGGGGGGGGGGTGACCGACCGCGGGGAATGAATGATGCACGTCGGTGATAAAAGAGAATGCGTTTGTGCAGGTTTTGTGCGTGGTGTCAGAACCCTCTCTCGCAGGTCACGTCCGTGGGCCGTGTATTGGCGCGCAGGTATAATTATTTAGGATTTTCCGTTGCCAGTGAGCAACAAGCCTGCAAACGTTCCCAACCGTGTTGCACGTCTCCGAAAAACCCTCTGCGCTATTACCCTGCTGCCACCCGGTGGCGCGATTGCCGTACTGACACAGGCGGGCACATCATTGACGCTTTCAAGCCTGGTATTAAAAAAAAGAGAGAGGTTGGTTGGGTACACGTTCAGAATAACCTTATAAGTCGTGGAAAATGGACACTGAATCTCATATATTCTGCTCGGGAGGATATTGCTTGAGAATTATCGGCAGATTCCTTAAAACAGTGAAGTTACTATAATTTATCTTCTTTGGTTCTTTCGGTAAAGTCACGTAGAATGAGAATAAAATAATAAATTGATAAAATAAAATAACACAATAATATTCTCACGACGTTTCGGCCACAACACAAGCGGCCTTCATCAGGTGAAGGGGACGAGACTGTCTGGAGGACACTCCAGCGCTTGTGTTGTGGCCGAAACGTCGTGAGAATATTATTGTGTTATTTTAGTTTATCAATTAATTATTTTATTCTCATTCTACGTGACTTTACCGAAAGAACCAAAGAAGATGAATCCTTGCAGTCACGAAAGCTTTAAATCGAAATTTACTATAATTTAGTTTCATTTTGTCTTATCATTTCATTTATGCTAAGGAAATAAGGAGTAATTCATATTTGTTTTTTTTTGTTTAGGCCACGTAGTAGTATTAATGGCAAAATTTTCGTCGTTAGCCCTCCACCACCCAACAAGATGGTCACCTTCACAAACATATCTGTTGTTTTACCGTATCGATAAAACTCCGACCAATGAAGCTCATCTTCTCATGAGTGAATTAATAATTAGTTGCCATTTGTAATGCACAATACATCCAAGGATCTCAGTGTGCCATGTATAACGACGTTTCAAACTGCTTTGAGTTTCATTAGGTAATGAACTCAGAAATCAAGTGCTAGTTTTTAATTATTATAAAAACCTACATTTTAAGTTAAATAACGAATATCTTGTGCATAGACTACACATATGAAACCTGATAATCTGGTTGCTGGAATATATTGCGAGCAACCCAAATATTTACTTTAAATATTTCATTCTCAGTGCAATATTGATTATAAAAGCTTAAAACAACATGTGTGTCCTATGGAAGAGGTGCACGGTGCATTGTGTGTGACAGTGAAACGCAGAAGAAGTGAGAAACACATTGATTTGTTTGATCGTCAATCATATTTACCTTATGGTTCTCCTTTCTCATTTCTTCCATTGCCAGCGAGAATTTGCTGAAAATGCCTTTCCTGGTTTTTGTCCTTGGCGTTAACTAAAAGAACGAAGATGAAAAGAGGCGCATGCGGAAGCGAATATTCCTTAAAATGAAAGAGGCCCTCTGCCAGCAGAGATATGACCGCTAAGTTAAGGGCTGGCTTATATAATTCAAGTGCAATGTACTTAACTATCATAGGTGTCTGTCCAGATGGTGTTTTATACTTCACAGATGTGAAATACTGGACATATTTTACTGCTGCATTTTAAGTTTGAAGCAAACCACATTTTTCAAAACTGTGCTCGAATGTAATTGGGCTATGCTTATTTCAATTGATAGCTCTTTGCCAGTGGAAGATAATTCCACATTCATATGGCAGGACCTAGCATTAAGGACGACCACTTTGGCTATCCACAAAGTGATCCTTATTTGTTGATTCCAGAATAATGATGGGCTGAGTTGATCCTGAACCAGGATTAGAGCTCATTATTCCGTTTATGAGTCAAGGACTCCGCACAGCACAACACAGCATGACACATCTGGATGGGTAATGTGCAAGATTTTTTTTTTCAAAATCGAAAGCTAATTCTGTTCTATTGAAACAATTACACATTTTACAGAATCGTTGTGTTTTATTCTGTTCACTGTCTAAAACCGAAAGGGTAATTGTCATGCGCGTTGACAAAGCAGATTTTTTTTTCAAAATGCATATAAAATTATTTTACACCGGAGGAAAGACTAATGCCTAAAATTTGAAACACAGCAGGAATCAAATAACTGAGTCTCATCATCAGGAATGGCCCTTTGAGATGACAACACAGTCTGACTTCATAGATCATCTCAATAGGTGTCTCTGCCAAAGCCCAATTATTTGTCTTGAGTCAATATCACGTATTTGCTTTGTGATCTATGTGGTCATCTTTTTTTGTCTGTCAGTGTAATTCCAAACGTACACTTTCCATTCATATTGCACTTTCGCCTTTTGTTCCATTTTCTTTGTCAGCATCCACGTTCCGGATCCATACGTCATAGCAGAGGAAGCACCACAGGGTCGTGTTGCTCCGTGATGGATTTTACATCGAGCAGTGGACTGAGTCTGCAGTTGAGGTCAAGTTTATTTTGTTTAAACAGCTGAGAACGCAAGACACCAGGATAGTCACTTTGCAAGAGTGACCTGGGCAATGCCACCGACTAGTAGGGGGCGATGATTGCGATGTCTCGTCCCAATTATGTAATTTGCGAGTGTTCCAATTGGACCCCGACACCGGCACACAACGGCCTCCCCTTGCGAACCACATAAAGGGATATGTTGTTGGTTCTTCCGGTAAAGTCACGTAGGTAAAAAATAAAAATAATAAAATATAATTTAAATGTATTATTTGTATTATTTGCAATTTATTATTTACATTTTTTATTTAATTTTGTTATTTTTATTTTCTATCTACGTGACTTTACCGAAAGAACCAAGAATATGAATTCTAAGCAGTCACGAAAGTTTTAAGTCAACACATGAAGGGATCTTTAACATCCACTGTGGAGCAGATGGCTTGTCGTATCATTTCGGTTATTACACCCGCAGTAATAACCAGGGCGGCCGCTAGATTCGAACCGTAAACATCTGCAATAAACGGCAAACACGCTACCGCCAGGCCACATCACCACCCTAAGAACCGTTGGTATTGGCAGCAGTGCTGATGAGTACCCGTGCACTTACATCTCTCTGTATCAGGAAGCTGCGCAGGGCAGGGTTGTGGCCCAAGATGGGATGAGACAGCACAGCAAGGACGTAGTTCTCCAAAGCCTTGCATTCTCTCTTCTTCTCGTCTGCCGTGAACAGCTCTCCTGTTCCGCAGAGCCAGTCAGGCATTCATTAAACAGGAGACCAACGGTAGTTCTAGTACACGTGTACATGTATGGCCCTGTTGTCATTCCACTGCTGGATAACGGCCCCCTCACTCCGTGCGGGTCATCGGGTTTATTGTGACTATGCTGCTTATATATTAGGGTTGGTGAAGGTGTGGGAGCATAGACGTGGGAACATAGTACAAACATGGATTTTGCTGTGATGCCCTTTGATGCCAATTCTGTAGAACTCAGTGCGAGACTCAACCGTCAATAAATAAGGGGGCACACGGCAGCGGTGTCACAAAATTATGTTATATTAATGATTGATCATTGTTGTTTTTGGCCAGACAAGATTCAACTGGGAATATGCCAATTATTCTCACTACATGTGGGATATTACCAGTGTCTGCAGAAAACACATAAACAAAAATAACAGACAAAAAAACTCAATATCCACTAAACCAAAAAATATATACAATATTTGTTTAATGTCACAAGAAAAGCCTCGATGGAATCTGATTTTGGATGTTTTGTCAATTCCTGCTCAGTGTATTTGTGCATTTTGGAAAAATCATGAGAACCCAAAAGAACGAGGGCGAATAACGCACAATCTAAACCCAGGTGCGTAAAAACAAAACCTATTTGCTGTGCTCCATTCTCATTGCTTACAAGTGGGTGTTTCATGTCAGCTCCATCTCTGTGCAGTCCACCGAACTGTGCATCCCAGTACATTTAATCAAAGACATCAACACCGCATCGACACATTATTAACATTATTACACTGTGCTTTGTGGTTTATTTTGTGGTGCAAATACCAGTTAGCGTGGTTGGCTACGCGTGGTTGGCTATGTACGGTGCGAAAGAAGTTCAACATACATCCGTACATACCTTTAGAGCGGGGTGTCAAACCAAGTGGCCTTGCTCTCAAATGCTCTAGGAAATCAGGCTGTATTCATGAACAAGTGTACAGGAGCCACAATGTGCCACACGCACACGCGGTCATGACATGCTCCAGCAGCATAAGCGGCTTATCGCACGGTATTATATTGTGCCAGTGGTTTGTTAGTGGTTAGGGGCCTGTGAGGGTGCAGCCATTGTATTAACGTGCATGTACCCGCCACCTATTGTACAGGCAACAAGAGCTGCTTTTGTAGCCTGATGGTCAATTTGTTCAGTGAGCCGGAGCCAAACTCTAACAATACAAATAGCATTGCCTAACGGCAGGAATCTGCATTTATATTGTAACTTACAGCGGCAAACTATGTCAAGAAAGGGTGTTCCAATTGAACCAAGTACTAGGTTACAAAATCTGAAGGCCATGAGTTTCAGGTGCTTTGATGAAGATCAACCCCAGTGTTCATGTAACTTTTGTTATTAAATGTTGCTGTGAGGGGCATGGAATTCCTCCCTACCCCACTCGCACCCCCCCCCCCTGCAGTCACCATTAATGTTACTAAATTATCGTTAATGTCATCTCGCCACAGTCGGTCACACGCTTGGGTCTTTGGTGGACTGCCAAAGTAATTGCCATATTCTTTGAGTCTTTCGGTAAAGTCACGTAGATAGGTTCAAAGAAAATAACAAAAAACGACGACGTTTCGATCGCAACGCAAGCGTTCGTCATCAGGAAGAAGCTAACCCCCCTCTTCCTGAAGACGGCCGCTTGTGTTGCGATCGAAACGTCGTCGTTTTTTTGTTATTTTTTGTTATCTTCTTTGAACCTATGTACGTGAATTTACCGAAAGACCCAAAGAATATGAATTCCTGCAGTCACGAAAGCTTTAAGTCAAGTAATTGTCATGTTTGATGTTAATTCCACCATGGTCACAGTTGACTAAACTAAACTGAAATACATAAATAAACACTTTGTTGATGAATATTTTAGTCACTAATTTAACAAAAGAAGCACTGATCAGGGACTGGCCCCTGTCAGCCTCTCCAACTAACAGAGAAGAGTCGTACTCCAATGCTTGTATTGCAGATAACTCCTCACCAACACGCAGAGACAGGTAAGGTGTTCCAATACTTTTATTCCACCTTCTCCATCACATACAGCTCCCTCCTTCATCCACAGCTCTCTTTCACTCCTGCTGACGTCCCCTCTTATCCACGCGGCCCCCTCTCCCATTCCCTCCCCCTCCCCTCGTCCCTGTCTCCTCATTCGCAGCCACCAATCCCCTCTCTTCATACCTCTGGGTTTATCCCGGTCACCTCGGTGCATTGATTGGCATCAGGGTGTATGGGGTAGGGGATGCCGATGTAGTGGAGACCGTTATAGAGGACTGTCACACTCTAGCAAGGTGACTCCTGAATTCATCTGTACCCAAGTGGTGTATATCATAGCCCTAAGGCATTTGTGGGGCTGACGTCACTACACACACATGAACGGTGATCTGTTCAACGCCTAAAGATGCCTGCATTGTGTTGAAAGAAGCTGACAAAGGCGGGTATACTATTCAAGATGAAATGTATGTACGTACTGTAGTATTACTTCAACCTAGAGACAAGTTTGGTGGATCATCTAGGGATGGAGGGATGATGTGTGAATAAGATGTATTTTACGTGGGAACGAGATAGTGCCTGCAGGTGGCAGGAGAGTAAAATATACGATTCAACGATGTGTGCAAATCTTGAGAGGTATCCCACTGTAACATGTCGGGGGTTCTGGGCACTCCGATTTTCTTCCACATGAAACTGTACTGGAAAATGTATTTACAAAACTCCCTTAAAGATAGCTCTCCTGATGACTGAGATCGCGTGCAGATAAATGTGTCATTCAACCTGCCACCACCCGTTACAACTAGCGCCTGATGGTGCTCGTTGTAATTATTGGTGAAACGTCGTAATCGAATTGTAAACATTGTGGGTGTACTCTCCAACACAACGGTGTGCTGTACTAGTAACAAATTGGAATGTTTTGTTTACGTGACAAACCTTACTAATTGGCTGTGGCGGGTGGTGGCGGGTTTAACGACACATTTATATTCATGCGATCTATCCTAAAAAAAAACCTCTTATGGATAATATTGGTCGAGAAAACCTACATGTTAAAGCATATTTATATAGTATGCAATGCATTATAGACACCAATCGGTTAAATACAATGCCGTTTTTTTAAATAACAAATTAAAGTAAATGTCACCACTGATATTGAGGAAGACGACTATGCACCTTTATGAACTCATCATTAAATAAAGTGCACTGATGCTTGGAAGGCGTATATTTAACAATCTGGCAATTCATTCCAGTAAGAAAACCTCCATCCAATTATGTGCTCACACTTTAGACCAACGCGTGCGAGCCACACTGGTATGTATTATCACATTTCAAGATAAACGTTCTTTTGAACGCCTTTTATTTGGCTCTTGGTGATCCATGGGCATTAGTAATGAAACAGATATATTATTATTAGCATTGGTTTGTGTTTTATTGTTGCACGGAAGCATGCCAAGTGTCATCAGCTGCAATACTGGCCAGGCACAGCAATCAGTATCCTATAAAACCCTTACAAACCATGGAACGAGTGTTCGTGACCATGTTTACTTTTTACTATTCTGCACTCAAAACCTAATGACTTGCCCCCTGTAGTATAAGACTAGCAAGGAAATACAGATCTCGCCCAATCATACACATTCCCCATCACCTGAAAGAACGTGTGGAGGAAAACAATCAAAATAATTAACTAAAATATGAATAGCCTGTTGTGCATACATTTGACACATCTCCTGTTGAATTTGCAAATAGATTGTGGTATGTCTTCCCCACAACTGTGCGTGGCACGTCATGTGATTCGTCAGTAGTGGCACTAGGTTTAAGAAAGCTAACAAATCCAAAGCCTAAGTATTCTCATTGAGCTCCGGATTCATGTAAAAATATAGGTGCATCAATATCAGCTCAAGTTAAAATCCTAATAAACAAAACCAGATTCATTAACATAATCACCAAATAATTTATCACGTCTCTATCTTGGCTGCATCTGTGATCTCACTACATCTCTGTTTTGTCTAAATATCCCTCATCTCATGATATCTATATCTCTCATTCGGTTTTTACAAATAAAATCCTTAGGGTCCCCCAATAGGCGAGCACCACCACCACTACTGATCATCGTAGTCTGACATGTGTGTGTGTATGATTGATGGGCTTTAGTGGAGAGCAGCCAACACCAGTGTCGATTATCTAAACCAGTCCTGAGCCTCCCCTAGGTCGACTCGGCCTCAAATGGGTACCCAGTGCAATTTGAGAAGTAAGGCAGCCAGGCGTGGTGTTGGCCACCTACACCAGGGGTGGGGAACGTCAGGCCCCCGAAATCATTTGGTGCGTCCCTGCCAAGGCAACCGCAGGCGGGACTCGAAATTCAATAAATCTAGGAGCAAACCTGGCAAAGCAGTTGCGAGTAGCAACAACATCGTCAATACCGGCTAACATCATCACACGCCTCGCCAAAGAGAAGCAGTTCCAGCCCATCGCATTAGGGGCGAGTTAATTAAATGTTTGACCAAATTTAAACATGGCTAATTTTTAAGTTGATAATTTTGTATGGCCCGCGAATGATGTTATAAATATCGAAATGGCCCTTGGCAGAATAAAAGGTTCCCCACCCCTGACCTACATCCTTGTGCCGTGCCAGCCTTCATAAGTGCTCGCTAACAGCACTGGCTCCAAAACTGTTGAGGCTACATGTATACATCTTTGATGGGCGTTATAGTGTTGGTGTGGGCAAAACTCTCACCAAGTTGCTTTTTCATCTTGGCCTCTGCGCTGGTGATGGGGGTGCCAGCTTCGGGCGGCAGCGGAGGGAACTGAACAGTGCCCATGCCACGCACACACACACACACACGTCACAGTTACATCCGTTGTGCTATTATGGCAGTCATGTCACGAGGCACAGAAATTACTTTTTGGAACTCCTTCAAGTCAGTAGAGCATCATGTCCTGTTGGCAAATGGCCCCAGGGGATGATGACACAGAACTGAGAACTACTCCGCAGATCATTTCAGTAGGTCTCTTTTACCAGCACTCACATTGTGTTCATTCATGCACTCCTCGTTTATTACCCAACAGGTATTGCCCGTCATGATAATCATCAAACTTGATCTGTCCATTGCTGGATTAAGGCCTCAGTCTTCCGATGCAACAATGCATGGAGCCGATCTCTTCGCTTCATGCCCACTGTGGTCCTCCGCTAAGGTATGCTCCATCCTTTGGCTGCCATTCCATCATCACCCTTGACCATCGGACATCATCCCTTTTAGCAATGACGAAAACACATCAAACAGCTGTACAGCTCATTGTTGGAAAATGTTCATAATAACGTTTTTTTGGGTTAGATAGCGTAAATATAATTGTGTTGTTAAACCTGCCACCACTCGACAGCCAATTAGTAAGGTTTGTCACGTAAACAAAACGTGCCAATGAGTTACTACTTTAGTACACCAGTGTGTTGGAGAGTAAACCCAACAACATGTACAGTTCTGGTAAATCGCCTGATGAAGCTGATTGTAATCACCAGCAAAACGTCGTACTCAAATTGTAAATGTTGTTGGGTTTACTCTCCAACACACCCGTGTGCTGAAGTAGTAACTCATTGGCACGTTTTGTTTACATGGCAAACCTTACTAATTGGCTCATTGACTTCGTCGAGTGGTGGCGGGTTCATGACAAAATGTATATGCCCGCGATCTAACCCAGAACACCTTTTATGGATAACATTGGTTGCGAAAGCCTACGTGTTAAAATTGGCAAACGTTGACCGTCATAGGTGCTCCTTGCACACGCGCAACTCACCACGACCCCGGCCAGGCCTGCTATTCCTTCCTGCTCATGCAGACTCTGGTGCAGCCACTCAAAGTCCTCGTACTCTCGGTCCACGCTCTGGGAAATGCCACTTTCCAGCTGCCGATGCAATCGCGCAACCACAAACACAACGAGCGCGGTGCAGTTAATAGGGCAAGTGGAGTGCGGCTCATTCACTTCTCTATAGCAATAGCAATCTACAACCCTTAGTCAATCCACTGCTGAATGAAAGGCCTCCCCATGCTGTGTCGATCATTGGGGGTTGTTTGGTCAAACTTTACCACCCCACTGATCAGTGCGTGTTGGTGAAGAAATGGGTCAAGTGCAGGACCTGTTCAGATTTCACTCGCCACTGTTACCATCAGTGGTCGGGATGTGAACTCAGGGGCTCAGGTTCTTCGCGCAGTGCGCTGACGACTGTGTCACCGCCCCACCCCACTCAATAGTGTCAGGCCAGGTTATTCTGTGGCAGAGCGCTCCTCTCTCAATCAGAAGGTTGTGAGTTCACATTCAAGTTGAGGAGTAACTCAGCCAGTTAAAAATGTATATGATTTCTGTCGGGAAGTCAACTGTGGTTGCGCAATAAAAAAAATTACCTTCAATGGTAATGTGGAATTTCCAACTCTGCCTGAGGGCTGCCAATTGAGGCGACTTAAAGTTGATTGGCTGATTCTCATTTATGTAAAAACTGGAAACTTAAATATTTTGATTTTTTTTTTATTAAAAATGGATTTCATTCAACATGGAAAATTACTCGACAACAAATTGGCCAAACATCCCTAGTGAGCTTTTCCTTAGTCCTGAAATCCAATTGACACATTCTTGAAAATCATCAGTATGGCCCTGTACTAAGACAAGCCTGAGAAAATACTCAAATCAGGCAGACCTGATTCAAACTTGAGAATACCACATTTCCATGGTGGGGATCAGTATACACATGAGACAAATTATGTTGACTTCTCACAAAATGGAACTCACTTACCAAGCTAATAATCATCATCAGGCATGCTCTATTGACTGCTGATGAAGGCCTTCACAAGCCATCGCTCTCTCTCACGGTCTTGCGAAGCAACAATCCATGTAGTACCTGCACACAAGCCAATGTCATTGCCCCGTCTTGGCAGTGGACGTTCTATTGGAAGTGTTCTCCCCTTTGGCTGCCACGCTGTCATGAGTCTTGTGATTGACCCCAGTGGGATTATTATAATCGGTCAGGCTTAATTTCGACTGAAATTCTCACTCGCAACCTCTAGGCTATGAGTCAAGTGCTCTAACCACAGCGCCAATCTGCAAGATGAACATTGGAGTAAATAATAATAATAAGCTTCACTTGAACTAATCGGCTTCATGCAGTGGTTCTTGGAATTTCAAAGTCTTGTGCTGCTTGCCGTTGATTGAAGTGGATCTGTTTCACTGGTGTGGCGGAGTATATTGAGGTTTAAGTCCACCCACCGCAGTCGACTTGATGACGTAGATGGTGGAGCCTCCGTCCTGTGAAGCCGTGCCGATGGTGACACTGTAGCGTGGGAGTCCTGCGACGTCCTGCCCGACATCGCCATCCTCGCCATCGCTCTCCTGGGAGAGTGGGTATGGGAGTGAGCAACGTGTGAACGGGCATCAAAGTTGGTACCGCTCGAGACCATAACTGTATTGTTGTTTCTGCACAAACACCTTCGTAAGTGACACTTGGGTCTGCCGCAGCTCTGAGCTTTTTTGTCGTTGCCAGGATGAACCCCTTTATCTCATTCAAAGGGTGAATCATTACATCAAGTGCTCTAACCACTGCATGGATCACGGTTGTAAGGTTGTCCACCATTCCTTCGACATAGATAAAATCATTACTGCTTTGCTAAATATCAACAGTCGGTCAACCTCTGAATTAAATTGGAACTGTTAAGTCATTTTAAAGTGGAATTTTAGCCATGGCTCAGGGCTTGCCTAATCGAGGTTATCAAAACAACATTGCTCGTTTGAGGATACATTTTGTACACATGTTCAACTAGTAATAATAACCCAAACAAAAACTCTATTATGGATATGAATACATTCTCAAATTACGTTATCCAGGGTGATGGGGAGGAGCGGTGGGTAACAAAAAACATGGACAATACAAAACATGTAAATTACAGAAACATTCATTGTTTATATTCTTTGGGTCTTTCGGTAAAGCCACGTAGATAGAAAGGATAGTAAAAATAATATCAATACGTTTCGATCGCAACACAAGCAATCGTCATCAGGTGAAAAAAGATGTGTTCATCCAAATATATAAACACAGACACAATTTCGACCGAGATGGGTACAAACTGAGCAATCATTGGAAGGACGTTATTAACCAGTTTAGGTCATAACTGGCTGTGACGTTCCCTTCCTACCTGCCTATGTTACCAGTTATTTTCGACTCTCTGAGTTACATTTACTAACACAGCCAACATTAGCTGTGTTAGCAAATGGCGGCTTGCCATCCTTTTCCACCCCCATGTGGCGATGGCTCTTTCCTAGCTCTCTCCGAACTTACATTCACGAGCATCTCTAAACCTTTGTAAACAGCGCTTTGATTGGGGTAGACCTACTGCCGGTTAGGGAGACCTCTCCTTCATTAACATTAGCTGCCCCGCCCATCTCTAAACCTTTATAAACAGCTCTTTGATTGGGGTAGACCTACTGCCGGTTAGGGAGACCACTCCTTCATTAACATTAGCTGCCCCGCCCATCTCTAAACCTTTATAAACAGCTCTTTGATTGGGGTAGACCTACTGCCGGTTAGGGAGACCTCTCCTTCATTAACATTAGCTGCCCCGCCCATCTCTAAACCTTTATAAACAGCCTGCCTCAACAGCTTTCCGCCTCTTTTTTCACCTGATGACGATTGCTTGTGTTGCGATCGAAACGTCGTGATATGTTTATTATTTTTTCTATCTACGTGGCTTTACCGAAAGACCCAAATAATACTAATTCCTGCATTCACGAAAGCTTCAAGTCAAGATTCATTGTTTAGTTACGTAGAATGGGGGTGAACACACAATGTGTCACTTGCTAACTCGTTGGTCATCAAGTGGGCACAGAGTCACGGGCCCTCAGCAGTGAGGGAGCTGTTAATAATGAAACCGGCACATGCGTAAACATATTTATTTTCAAGCGCGGTTAATTTGCAACCTCGCAACCCTGCTAATCTGCCAAGGGTTAACTGTATTTTAAATTGAGTTCCGGTGAGTGCCAGTTGGCATATCGTAAGCGTGACATGTACCCCGTGATTAAGCCATCTGAACAAATAAGGACTTCTTTCAAGTAATCCAATTCACAGTTTTTATACGTTGAGTGTACAAAATTGCGCATGAACGAGCTAGCATCACTCTCGGTTCCCGTGTGTCCAGTGTTCTGCCCGCACATTTTCTCGACGCTGTGTTTCTTCTCGATGTAGGACAGCAGAAGGCCAAATGTACCATTTGTCATGGGAACAGCGCATGCATTTGCACCGGGTCTCCCTTTGCATTGGTGCACAAACTCCAACTTCGTTTGGCGGTTGACGTTCACAGTGGACTGTGACCCTCAAAGCAATAGCGACGCCCCCGTGGTGCCCTCGTGGTCGCCCCCATGATCCGTGGATCAAACAAATTACCCGAAACGCCAGTATATGGTAGCAAGAGCAGTTTACTCAAACGCTGTCGCAAGAGGTCACACGTTTGGGGCAAGGGTCCTTCGCTAACTATGCGTGATGAATTAATGAATATCTTAGCATTGAGTCAGCTTCAACATCCACCTACATACACTGCTCCAATGGTAGCCATGGTGAAATGAATCTATTTTGCTGTACTGTAATCTTGTTTTCATGTCTTGATGTTAACCTAACATTAACTGCAGTATGAACGTACGAAATTACTTGTTGGCAATTGAACATCTACGTGTAAGCAGTCATGCATCTGCTGCCATCTAGTTTAAAATTAATCACTTCCTCGGTCCACACAGCTTTTACATTTCTCTTTTTTTTTCCTTGGCCCCATAATTAATAATGTAACCTGTGGAGTTTCCTGATAACAAACAAAAAAAAATCACATCCTCATTTGCATTTCATTTTCCGCACATCAGCTGTTATTGTTCTTATACACGTCTCATCATCATCATCATCAGCAACCATTGTCTATCCACTGCTTGATGAAGGTCTCCCCACGCTATTGACATCCATTACAGTCCAGTGCTGCTACCATTCATCACCTGCACATAAACTGACCTCATTGCTCGAAATATTTGGTGGTTATCCTCTTCGAAGCATTCCCTCCTTCAGTTGCCAATTCATCACCAGTCTCATTCATTTGGGCGCCACGGTAGTGAGATGTTAAATACCTTTCCCGGTGTACAGGAGGTCGTGAGTTCGATCTCAACCCTGACGCCTGCTGCTGTATATTTGGAGTTTGCGTGTTCTTCCCGTGGTCGCGTGGATTTTTCCTCTGGGTCCTCGAGTTTCCCCCTCCACATTTAAAAAACATGCGATTAGAGTATTTGGCTGCAGTATATTTCTGCATGACAAGCCACTTCGTTGAGCTATCATTTGTGGCCAGGTCGCTTCTGAAAAAAGAGCTGTATAGCTCAGTGAGCTTTATCTGGTAAAATAAAAACTAGTTTTAGTTTTATCTCATCCAGCCATGTGTTGTGCCCAGGCCCATATACTTGTGTTAATCGTGTCATGCATTTATGAACCAAACTAAATGGCTCACTGAATTCACTGTGTGTTTGTGTGCATGACCTACACAATTATGATAGGCCCGTTAGCACTCTGAACTTAACAGCCCTTGATTTTACTCACAGAATGTGTGTGTGTCCGTCTTGGGCCTCACCTAGGCACACTCAGCTTTAAATGAGTGGTGTTGTGTAAACAGCATTGGGAAGACAACGCCAACTGGGTGTTGGGCTGGCCACACCAGCCCCTCACCGTGTGCTGCTGCACCACCCTTGAAAAGTACTTGCTAACATCGTTAACCCAAACTCAGAATTACTTGTATGTGTGTGTTTTTGTGTTGTGGCGATGGGCGGAATTTACGGATTACGTTTGCTTAAACCCATGAACTCAGCCATTTTTTTTGTTTAGACGTATTATCCAAATCAGTAAAAATGCAAAGACAATTTTCTACTTAACATATCACCATCAGTACGTCTAGCCTGTGCGACGAAAACCCCCAAAAGTTTCTATTAAAAAAATCCCTTCAATTTTTCCCCTCTGCAACCTCGCTTTCCTCGCCGCAGCTCCACTCTCCACTGCAGCTTTTTCTGTCTCTCTGTAGCTCTCCGTAAGCCCTGCCCACTCCTACGCATCGCGGTTTCGTGACCATGATTCGTTGTCAATGTGCCGCAGATTTCTAGAGGAACCGGCGTGCAATATTCCAAAAATCCGCAAAAAATGTGCGGATTACGAGGTTGGTACAGCCGGTTAGGTAACTTCATCCGCGCAAACCCTGCTGACGCTGTGTCGCAGATTTCTGGATGACAGGAGCAGTCGTAAACCATTGATAATTTTTGGATCACAGATTAGTGAAGTTCTGCTGTAGTTAGACCAAGTTAGATTTGACAACCTGGTTTGTATTTACGTGGAACCTCTTTTGCACCGTACGTAGCCAAAAGCGCTAATCGGAGGTGCGGTTTCATCATGCAACTCGAACCCACATTATAAATCTGATCTCAGGAGTGCTGGCTCAGTGTTCTGACCACAGTCAACCCCAAAACCAACCAGGCGGCTCATGACCTATATGTCATTATGAGGTATGCACTCAAATAGGCTATATACAGTATTGTGTCTTGTGATCAATAAGAATTATCAAGATTTATTATAAGTATACAAATTCACACTAGGTGGAGAAGGATGGAGTGTAATGCAAGTGTTTTAAAATAATGTTAAGGAAAACCTTTTTTTTCCCTCAGACTCAAGATTGTCGAGAGAGGGAATGAGCTTTTGAAAATGGCAATGTTAAATGAGATAAGTATACAGTGCCGAGAAAAGTTTGTAAACCCCTTAGGATTTTCATATATTTTACATCTTTCAAACCTAAAATGCTATTAGATCTTAATCTAAGTCTTAATACTAGATGAAGATAACTTGAATAAACAAAAGACACAAAAACATAATCTTTCAATATTGATTCATCCTCAAATTATTCTACATTCAATAACCATGTGTGAAAAAGTTTGTGAACCTTTATATCCAGTAACTGGTGACACCTCCTTGAGCAGCAATAGCTGCAACTAAGCATTTCCTGTAACCGTTCGTCAGTCTCTCACATTGTATTTGAGGAATTTTGGGCTATTCCTCCTGACAGAACTCCTTCAACTCGGTAAAATTTGAGGGTTGCCTTCCATGGACAGCTCGCTTCAGGTCCTGCCACATTTCGATGGGGTTTAGATCTGGAATTTGACTAGGCCAGTGTAAAACGCGGATTTTCTTCTTCTGCAGCCATTGTAGATCTGCTCGTATATTTATGATCATTGCCTTGCTGCAAGACCCACCTTCGGTTCAGCTTCGGCTCACGGACGAATGGCCTAACATTCTCCCCTAGAATATTCTGATGCAATGCATAAATCATGGTTGT